TGTGAAGTTCTTCGGGCCGAGGTCGCATTTCGTGATTCACGACGCCGGTGGCGTGCACGCGCAGGTGCGGGAGGTGCTGAAGCCGTGGATTGATTTGGGGTATGTGACGTTGCAGGATATAACGGAGCAGGAGAGGTTTGATGGGTACTACCATAACCAGTTCATGGTGGTTAATGATTGCTTACATCGATACAAGTTCATGGCTAAGTGGATGTTCTTCTTTGATGTGGATGAGTACATCTATGTACCACCCAAGAGCACTATCAAGTCTGTTCTTGATTCACTCTCCGAGTACTCTCAGTTCACCATTGAACAGATGCCAATGAGTAGCAAGCTCTGCCTCACGGCTGATTACGGCAAAACGTATAGGTACATTCTCCTCAAACTTCTTGCTTTTTTCAAAAATTGTTGCCTTTTGGTCGCTTTTATCTAATGGGGTTTTGCCAACTTAATCAGTATTTTCAAGAACGAAGTTTAAGTATAGAACTCCCTTGAAGATAATATCTATATCTGACTTAAGAAAGACCGTGTCAAAGAAAGAATCTTGGTAGTCTTATAGCAAAAATATTAATTGGTATCCCAAAAGTTGTGATTTTCCATGTTTGATGTTGTAGTTCTACTTGCTTTTTACGATATGTTCGATTGGTTAATTCGGGTGTTCGCGGGTTGCTAAATTTGAAAGAACTAATGGGGTGAAGGTGTTTTTGTGTGTGTCGGTTGTGGATTTTGGCGGATCGAACAATTGTGAGATTCGGGATTGGATCTGTGGAGGTTTTTGAGGTGGATTGGTTTGGGTTTTAGTTTGGGCATAAGTGAATGATGGATGGTTGTGGGAGTTTAATGAGCATTTACTGAGGTGGTTCGTTTGGAGGAACAAATGTGATGTCATTGGTTTTTCCTTGTTTTGTTTCGGTGCTTGATAATGTCGCGGATCTTGAGTGGTTGCGTGGTGTTTCTTTCCCCAGCGTGGAAGGTGGGGTTTGATTTGGTTTTGTTGTATTGTACGGGTGTGAAGTAGCCCATTCCTGTGTGGACAGGTGAAGAGTGTGGTGGTGTCTCTGAACTTTCTTCGAGGGTGATTTATTATTCCTTCTTTATTAGCTGGTTAGTTTCAACAATTAAAAATAGCAAGCTGGTGTTGTCTGATGAAAGAGTATTTTAATGTGGCACCGAGAAAATTCAGAAGGGTTCTTTAATTCAATCACAAACATGTCCTTTTGTTAGTAACATTGCTTTGCTGTGTTGCCCTGTCCCTTGTGGCAATTGCCCATAACAGTAATTGAAAGAATCATAGGCGTGCTAACAAGTGATGATGATGATGATTTTTCTCAACATTCATATATATTGTTTTGATTTTGGAATGAGACCGTGCTGGCTGGTCCACAAGCCCTTTGATTGCGACGGATTTGTTGGGGTGTACTCAACTTTTTTTGTATCCATCAAAATTACTGTTTCCTATTTCACACTCCCTTAACAACACTTAGATCTAGTTGTTTTGTCCAATCGAAGTGTTTATTTATATCTAGCTTTTGTTACCATATTCGCTGAATGTAGAATCAAGCTGGTTTATGCTATGCAAAGGAATGTCTTGTTGCCTTTACAGTTGGTTGACAACTACGTTTCCCACACAGTTGTCAACCATTCTTGTGTAGTTTCATTATTTGTGTTATGCATGTGGGGTGGTGTGTGGTCTCACATGGAAATTTGCATTGCAGGAAATGGGGGTTTGAGAAGCTGGTGTATAAAGATTCAAAGAAAGGGATTAGAAGGGATAGAAAATATGCAGTGCAACCAAGGAGTTTGTTTGCAACTGGGGTTCACATGTCACAGAACCTTGCAGGGAAGACAACTCACAAGACTGAGGGCAAAATAATGTACTACCACTATCATGGAACCATAGCTGAAAGAAGAGAATCTTGCAAAATGCTTATAAATTCAACAGAAATCACATACGAAAAAACCCCCTATGTGTTGGACACCACCATGAGGGACATTGCTGGTGTGATCAAGAAATTTGAGCTCAAGATGATTGGAAATAGGCTACAGAAGACACGGCAATGACACTGCCAACCCTTTTTTTGTTTAATTTATTTTTTAAACCATATAATAAAATTTTTAACTTGTATTAGAAAATAGGAATTCATTGAGCAGTTCTTGCTTTTCTGTTTGATAGTTTTTCTTTTGAATTTTTTATGTGGTATATTTACAGATGGGTATATGATCTTTGTTTCATTTTTAATAGTTCTTTTCTGTTCCCTATTTTTTTACTTCTTTTCCTTTTTACATTTTGTAAAAAATAATGAATAAAGATGAATGGTTCAATTATGTTGTCGGTGTGGGGCATGATGCCATCCCCACCTACAGTGGCACACCATATGGAGGGTTGGCTAATGTGCTCCTATTGCTTTGCTGGTTTTATTCATGCATCTTTTTTTTTTTAATTATTCTTCTTCGGTTTCTTGTTCCTTAATAAAATCTGGTACTATTCTTTTGACAATTATTGTTAATTTACTCTTTAAATATGATTATCATAACTTATTTTAGTCTTTGAGATGCACATAAATTAAAATTATCATGATTTATGATTCTTCTCTAACTAAATAGAAATTAAAATAATAAGGAATTTTTGTTGGGGGAGAAAAAAGCTAAATAGTTATAGTTCCACAAATGTATGTGAACAGTGTTTTGTATTTTATTTGGAAAGAAGACATTCATAAAATAGATTAACTTTTTGTCAAAAGGGACGTGTTCTTTCCAATGGTTGTATTATTATAGCACCACATGATTCAACCATTAGTCAACTAATTATTTTAACACATCATAATTGTGTTTTCCAGCTTTATAATATATGTATTTTTTAATTCAACACAAATTTAAGCAAGTTTAGTAGAAAATTATTTTTGGAAGAATATGCCAAAACAGTGATAATTACACGAGATAAAGGGTCATTTTTAAAATCATTTTAATAAAATAAGCAATTTTCTGTTATTTTGAATAAGCAAATTCTATCTATTTCTATAACTAATTTTTTTAAAATTGTATCTTTCAGAAATATTGATTTTTTAAGTTAAAACAAACTTATTCAAAATAAGATGAAAGAACAAATGAATCCACCGTAGAGAAGTAACTTCTAACCATTAAAATAATTAATAAAATATTAAACGGGACAAATAAATTATTCGCGACAATATTTTACATTAACTTTAGGTTATGAAATTAGTGTTTTTTCCCTCTATTTTTGGTCTTGTCTTTAGAATCTTTAAAATGCATGCCATTAATTTCCCTTACAAAAATATTAATGGTCATTAAAAAAATAAATCATAAATACTTACAGAAAGTAAAAGTAAACAGTTAAATATTTATGGGGATAGAAATAAAATAATAATAATAAAAGGACTAAAATAACAAAATTATCTCTCTAAACTCCATTAGCAACATTTTTTATTCACTTTTTCTTAGTTGAAATAATATTATCTAATCATATTATACAATGTTAAAGATATTGTTTATGTTTTTATCTAACTATATTGAAATTTATATTGGTGATATGCGTTGTAATAATCGATTTTATTAAATTTTCAATGTTTGTTGTTAATGTTATTATCTTCAATTCAAGATGGCGTATGTTTGGATGTACGTGCCAAACAATTTCACGTTTCGCTTTTAGCTTCCGGGGATTTGGACGCGGAAAATTTTCAATGCGGTTCGGGGAAACAACACAAGACGATTTTAAAATACATTAGTTCCATACGCCGTTATTTTTAATGAATGAACATTTTTTAAAAACGCGCTTAAAATTCAGAAAGCGCGTTATATCACTATTATTGGGTCGTCTCAATTTTTATTCGATGCATTATTATTGTTCTCAAACTTTAAACAAATTGGTAATAAATTATTTAATTAAATTGACCCATTAATATATATATATATATATACGAAGATACTAATTAAAATTTATTATAAAACTTCTTCAGCGGGTAATATAGGCATTATAAAATTAAAAAACTTTTTTGAAATTTGATGGTAATAATAATATGAGTAAATGCATTTACATATTGAAAATGATGTGTGATGGGCATTATGTAGTTCCTGATTAGTCAAAGGTTCCTTTATGGCCATTCATACGTAAATTCTGCGTCTGAAATCAAGAACTTTAAAAAGATGCACCAAAAATTCATCTGATAGAGATTGAAACATGAGAAAAGCGTGTAATAGAAATTGGAAGGTAATTAGAAGAAAAACAAAACTTGAACATTACTACGCTCTTGTTTCTATTATAATTAGTCAATTTAAAAGAAAAAAAATCAACTCTTGATGTAAAATATTTTATAATTTTCTTGATACGTTCTTATTAATGATAGTTAACAAGGGTAAAAAAATCAATGAAATTAAATTAATAAATTTTCTTGGTATGCATGATTAATTTTATCCAAAACATCTTACAGTAAGAACTGAGTGATGAAATAAATACGTACAATTTGATTTTTGTGTAGAATGAAGTTTGAACAATGATAATGTTAAAGTACACAAACAAACTCCAAACCTTAACCATTTTCGATTTGGAATACGTGGCTTTAGCTGAGTCTGTGCATTATTGGGAGTACCTTCTTGTTGCTGTCTTGTCGGTAGGATCAGGAATGGCTTCAAAGAGAGTCTGAATCTGAGACAAAAGAGAGTAAAAACTGAACAACACAACGGTAATTAATTCTTTTCCTACTTCTCATTCACATAAAACAGAAAATTTGAGATACATATCCTGAAACTGTAAATTGAGAAGTATGGTCTGCTAAGTGATAATGTGGTCCACAAGGCCATTGTTTTGCTTCGGCAAAAAAAGGTATGGGGTCCTACAAGGGTATTGGCATGCTTTATTTTCTGGTTGAAAAGTCTTGGTGTGACTATGTTGAAGGGCAGGTTGTAGGGTATCCAATATGGCATTCTCAGCCAGCCGACACATGCACATAGTGTATACATACAGTATCCAAAATGAGCCTTGAAAATTAGTCAACATCTATGTTCCTTCCTTCACTAGCTTTTTCATGATGGAAGCCTTCAACTACACTCTTCTTGTTTTTACCTTCATTCATGATTGCATTAGGTAAAGATAACTCACATGGATGAGAGTTTCCTAGAAAGTGTCTCACCCTAATATAATCACATGAGTTTGATTTTCTGATTATGTGTATGAAGAAAAATTATCAGATAAAACCCATTTAAGTGATCTTTTTAGTATAAAATATTAATCTCATAACTTTCTATTACAAAAATAGTTTTCTTTCATATCTCAGTGCCATGTAGTTAATGCTAGAATTTTCTGTAATTGAAGCTTGTTCCAATGCAATCTGTAACAAAGTAAAAGCTTGCAACATTAGTTAGTTTAAGGGTTGTTTTCACCAGTTCAAGATGTAGCAGAAGAAGACAAAGATTACATGGAAGGGGACAAATGAATGGACCCTAACTTGCAGTGGTGGCACGTCATGGGAAAAGAGCTGGCAAAGTTGAAATGGACGAGCCATTTAACAAATCATTTCTTCCACAATACATCCAATGGTTCTGTTGAGAGTGTCGAATTTCTGATTCATGTCTCCATTTTTCTTTTTCCTCTCCTCTAGTCTTCCCAAGAAGCAAAAAGTAAAAGGCTAAACACTTCGTAGTCCACACCTCCAAAGCAAGGAGAAAGGGACATTGAAGAATCAATTAATGATGGGAAATTTCCATTATTTAAATTCTCATTTATGGCCTCCATATGTTCATCGTCACAAAATAGCAGCCACATTAATTCAACACAAAAACTAATTTTTTAGCATGAAGCATCTGTAATGAATCTTTTGTTAACCAAACCTTGTACCATGACAGCATCCACTATTCTGATCAAAATACTATACTCTCACATCTGTTAATTGTATTTCTTGCTTATTTTGATTCCTCACTTTGATTAGTGGCCCTGTGGGGTATGTTACCCTTTGTATTTAAGTCTACCTATCAAAGCACACACACAATACAATGAAGTGTAGTTAATAAAATATTGGTTAAAGTGGGTGCTAGATTTGAAGGTCCCCATCATGTCAAATTGAATTTTTTCGAGTACAACAAGTTACTAGTTAATTAGCTTCATATTAATGTACATGATTCAGCATCAAAGCATTAAATAATGCACCGTTTTATTGCAGCAATATTTTATTACTGATGTTGCCCCAGATGAGTACTTTACAATCTTTTACTTTAATCTGCAACCAAATTCCAGCTACTGACTTTTTGCCATAAACCTCCTATTTGTTTGGGTTGATGTAGATGCAAAGGACTGGAAATGTGGATAGAGAAGAAAATAACTCTGACATCACATGATTTAATGTGCAGTTAAGATGAGACTTGTGAAAACGGAATGGTCCATACTTTTCATGTACTACTGCTACAGAGTTAATGAAATTCATTCTTTATTTATCTTTCTTTTGGATAAGAAAATTAATGGTTTTACATGCAAAGGAGGTTCTACCTACTGCACTATGTTGAGTCAATTCTCCACAGAACAGTTCATCCCACACCTGCATTTTTATGTACAAAAAATTAACATTCAATAACTTTGCATAATCGATTTTTTAAGTTAAAATCTACCCTTTTACAGGAAGAAAAATTTATAACTCATCTTAATAAAGTGTTTGACAACTACTAATTAATTACAGGAAAATTTTCATTCTTGAATTCTAATTGCATCAAGGGCTATCTTGAGTTTGGTGCAAAGCAAGGTCCAATACATTAGACTATGCCTTTGATTTTGACTTTGTTGAATTAATTGCATCATGTTTCTGTTCCATATAGACTCATAAACAAAGGATTTTTCTTTGTTTTCAGAATCAGGGGTTTATAAAATAAATTATACTGTAACAAAAGACTTAGAATATGCATAGATTCTATAGACAAAATATATTAACCTTCCATGTTCATTATTTTTATACCAGACTGCATTACATTGAGCAAAAAGTTAAAACACTACCTCCAAGAGAAACCTAAACTTGGGTACCACCTTCCCACTTAAGACCTCCAGGGGTGATGGCACCAAAGACCTTTAATCATTGAACCAAAGAAAATGCACTATTGAAGACTTGCTGCTTATACCAGAGAGTTTTAGATTATTGGAAACTATACATATATATCATTTTGAAATAAATAAAGTATATTTTGTCAAGAGAGATATAGACAATTTGATATCAATAACACAGCTTGTTCTTGATTAATGGAGGAATAATGCTATCTTTCTTTTTTTCTGTTTTGTCTGCTATAAAGTGCGTATTTTAATATACCTTAGCCTCCTTTGGTTGCCACAATAATAGAAGTGGTTGGTTTCTCAAATTCATTTGAAGGGTGGTTCTTATTTTGCTTTCAAATTTCCCTCTTGAAAAGAAAACCTCTTATTTTATGCATGTGGAATCTCTAACCTATCCTCTTAAATTAATCATAATGCATATTCCAAAAGAACAAGGTCAAAATGTTTAAGTTTACCAGTTTGATGATACTATTCAACATAGTTATTACAACTTACAGGTAATATAGATGCTGATTTTGTGCTTCACCGTTATTACTGGTTTTGATGCAGAATTTTCGGGTTGTATTTCGCTGGGGATAATTAATGTGTAACGGACTGAACCTATCGTGTTACGGAACTCAAAGAAGATATATTTTCTCTATTTTTTTAAATCAATTTTTTATTTTTTTAGTTATATATGTATTTTTTTATTTTTAAAATTTTATGACGGTATAAAAATATTGAAATCACATATTTTATGAATTATAAACTTTAATTAAATGTTAAATTTTGGATTAAAAAAAGATTAAAATCACCGATTTTCAAAGTTGAAATGTTGACTTTATTTATTTGAAAGTATGAACATTAAAGATAAATTTGAAAAGCAATACAAGAAAAAAAACTTATATGTTTAAATTTACATTTATCCTTTTAATGAAAAAAAGAGAGTATTAGTTTACTTGACTATAAATTTGCTAGGGTGTTGTTATTTTAAAATATCATAAAGTGTATAATAAGAATAATTATGTTAATTTTTTTTTTTTACTATTTCTTTTTCATCAAATTTACTACAACGCTCGGTGTATGGACTCTAAGAAGCCCATTTTAGAATTTCTTTGAAGGCCCATACTATTTGACACTCCCACTTTTGCCCTTAGACCTCCACCTTCTTTTTAAAGTCGAGCAGTGAGAAGAGTAAGCAAGGTTTCTGGCCCATGGGTTTCTGGCCCGGTTGGTTGAGATATATATATATATATATAAAAGAAATTCGAAACCTCTTAAATGAAATCAGATTGATTTTTTAATAAAGTTTTATACTCAATTCAAGTTGTACCATGAAGGGACCCACAAAATTTCAGCTTGCACTACCCAATTAAATTTAGTTCATGTATATATGAAAAACATATATATTTTTTAAAATACATAATTATAAATTATAAAAATACATAAATTTAATATTAATGATGATTATCATCATATATTTTTTTTAAATTTAAATTTAATATTTATTAATGATTTTTTCTAATTAATGAATTGCACTCTCTCCTGTTATACTACGTTTAAGATTGTTCTTTTTCATACAATAATAATAAATATTTTCAACCAATTTTGTTGAGACATATAAAATAGTTATTTTGAAGATAAATATTAGGAAGAATTTATTGGAATGCGAAAAAATATGTTAATTTGAAAGTTGTTGTAATTAGAGGCACCAAAATCAGCTATTAATGAGGGTCTATTATGTTATAATTTACATTACTTGCTTTGATCAAGAGGAATCTTAACATTAATTATAAAGATTAATGCTATAGATAATGGTAGTTTAGGATTCAATAATGATAAATTAGAAAGACAAAATAATTTTGATCTCTTAAAGTTTAAAGTTTAGAAATTGACCTTCATGTAATTATTTTGCTTACATTTACATAGATTAACTTATGTTAAATTATTACAAACAAATTAAAGTCTTATTTGGATAATTGTTTAGGTATTTTTAGAAAAAGAGAAAGAACAATAATTTCTAGAAATTAATTTATACATCTTAATTTTGAAGAAGCTAGAAAAAAAATAATAGTTGAATTAGATAAATTAATTTTAACTTACTAAAAATATATAATTCGTTGTATTTTTTCTTCCTATAAATATTTATTAAAAAAATTAGCTAGATCTAATATTTAATCACATACATAATTGAACAAGTAGTTTTAGAATATTTATCCTAAGTTGTATTATATGCAAGAGATTTTATTACCATGCTAAGATTTCTAAGTAATAATTATATAGAGAATTTAGAATATATGTTTGTTTATTTATTTTTTATCTAAAATAACGCATGATCAAAAGACTTAAAGTTAAAAAAATTATAATTATAATAATTATATTAATATTTTGTTATTAATATCCTTAATATGTCATTATTTTGTTCATGTACATGACTAATTTTTTCTTATATTTGTTTATTGTAATTATTGTTAGCTTTATTATAGATTCTACAATTATACTACAAGGTGTATATATAAACATAACTAATATAAATAATTAAGTCATTTTCTACATATTTCTTTTGTTTAATATCATATTACTTAAGCTTGAAGACTCTCGATCCAATCATCTCTTCCGACAGGCAATACAAATAAAAAAAATGACCTACTCACAATTGTTTCTATTAGGCTGGATAGAGATAACTATCTCCTATAAAAGTCACTAGTTCTTCTATTGATTAGAGGTTGCTAACTTGATAGCTACATACTAGAAATAAAAGAATGTCCAGAACAATTTGTCACCACAAGTGACAAAACTAAGAAAGATAATCTTGACTATGAAGAGTGAATTGCACACGATCAAGCTCTCCTTGGGTGGCTAAGAAATTCAATGGTCATTAACATTGCAACACAGTTTCTGCATTGTGAAATTTCTAAGGAACTTTGGGATGAAGCCCAATACCAATGGGTGTACACACAAAAATCAATGACAATCTAACTTAAGTATGAATTTCACAACACTCGCAAAGAAGAAATGAAGAACCTTACTAACAAATTAAAGTGGGCAGGATTACCAATCTCTAACTCAAAATTGATGATTCAAACCCTAAATTGCTTGGATGTTGATTACAATCCTGTGGTGGTTAAATTAATGATTCAAACCCTAAATTGCTTGGATGTTGATTACAATCCTGTGGTGGTTAAATTATCTGATCAAATCAACCTTAGTTGGTTGATCTACAAGCCCAACTATTGACATTTAAAAGCATAATAAAATAACTGAACAATTTCAATAATCTCTCAATAAATGTTTTAGCAAACCTTGTAAATAAAAATAATTTCAAAAACAACAAACTAGGGACACAAGGCAACTTGAGGGGCTCTAATTTCAGAGGAGGTAGAGGAAAAGGTAGATATAAACGAATATGTTAGGTATGTAACAAGATTTGTCACACTGCACTGAATTGTTTTTATCTTTATGATAAGTCATACACATGCTCAAATTATAATGTTGAAAATAAGAAGAAAAAAGATAACAGTGTATTCATAGCCTCCCCTTACCATGACTAGGGCTATAAATGGTACTTTGATAATGAAGCTAGCAATCATATGACTCATCAAAATGAGAAACTTTAAGATCTCAATGAAAGCAATGATAAGAATTCTCTCTTAATTGGTAATGATGAATGATTGAGAATATTGACATCAGGCTCAACTAAATTAAATAACCTCAACTTGCATAGTGTCCTATATATTCCAGATAGATAATTAAATCTGTACCCATGGGAACCGACCCGTCTCCACCCCGAGTTTGATGGGAAAAACCCGAGTTGACTGGGGGACAGGATGGATAATGCAATCCCCACTCCGACCTCGAACCCGTCCCCGCCCCGACTTTATATATAAATTTTAAAATATTAATATTTTAAAAGTATTTCCTTTTCTTTTTTTATTACATATAAGGTCATTTTTTTATATTTCATCATTTTTATTTTTCTTCTAGCCACTTTTTAATTTTTTTGTCTTTTTTAATCTTTTATATGAATTAATTTATTACATTATTCTCTCTTTTATCTTTCAGTTTTTCACATTTTCTTAATCTCTCCCATCAATTTGTTTTTTTTTTCAATCTTTTCAACCAATTTGATGAACACAAAGTTAATTTTTCTTCTTTATCTTTTCTACATATTTTACATAAATCATAGTAGTAACTAATATTATTTTATTTATAATTTATATTTATTAGGTTTTATTATGTCATATTTTTTTATCTTATTATTCTTATTTATCATATATCAATTTTTATCTAATAAAATAATTATATTTTAAAGGATTAAAATGAATTGATAATTTAAACTTTTATTATTTCGAACTAATAAAATAATAATTAACTTATTAAATATTTTCTTATAAACTATATATTTCATATTTTTAAATGACAACTTAAAAATTAATTAACTTATATATGTAATCAAATGTTTAAATATAGTATAATAATAACAATAATAATAATAATAATAATAATAATAATAATAATAATAATAATAATGTTATAAATATTCTCTCTCTATATATATAAATAAAAAATGATTAAATATTTCTTTTACATACATATTTTAATATAAATATAATAAATTAAAATATATATTTAATTAATAATTATTATAAATTATAAATATTTATTTTTATATAAAAAATACATTAAAATTAATTCATCATAATTATAATTATCTTTTTAAAAATAATATAGATCAGGGACGGGGACGAGGCGGGAGCGGGGAATCCGAAACATGTGGACTTAATTTCTAACTCCGGCGGGGATCTGGGACGAAGACGAGGATGGTTAAAAAATTCGAGGGCGGGGATCGGGAAGGCAAAACCCGCCCCCGTCCCGTCCCGCCCATTTGTCATGCCTAGTTCCAGAGATAACCAAAAACTTGTTAAGTATATCTAAATTAACTATCAACAATACTGCTCTTGTTGAATTTAATACAAATTACTGTTATGTGAAGGATAAACTAACAAGGAAGACACTACTAAAAGGAAAACTTAAAGATGGATTATACCAACTTTCAAGTGTAAACTCTCAAGTCAATAAAGATCTATGTATCTATATGTCAGTCAAGGAGAATTTGCATAGAAAGCTTGGACACCTAACAATAAAGTCCTGGAAAAGGTATTGAAGAATTACAATGTGAAGATTTCATCAAGTGATTAATTTTCATTTTGTGAAGCTTGTCAATTTGCTAAGCTTCACTTGTTACCATTTAAATTCTCTTCATCTCATGCTAAGGAACCTTTAAAATTGATTCACATTGATGTATGGGGACCAACCCCAATTTTGTCTCCATTTCACCATATTCACTTCCTTAAAACAAAAATCAGAAACAATACATGTTTTTCCTCTATTCAAAAGCATGGTTGAAAATTAGTTTAACAAGAAAATAAAAGTCCTTCAATATGATGGTGGAACTGAGTATAAACCTATCCAAAAAATAACCTTCAAGTTAGAAATTCAATTTAGAATGCCTTGCCCATATACGTATCAACAAATGGTAGAGCAGAAAGAAAACATAGACAAGTGACTGAATTAGGGCTCACACTATTGGCACAAACTAAAATGTCTTTACAGTACTGGTTGAAAGCTTTCTCAATCTTAGTTTATCTCATTAATATTGCCTTCAATAGTTAATCTAAATGAAAGTCCATATATTCATTATTATTTGGAAAAGAACCTGACTATACTGCCTTAAAACCTTTTGGTTGTGTCTATTATCCTTGCCTCAAACCATAAAACCAACATAAACTTCAATTTCATACTACACAGTGTGTTCTTAGGATACAACAAATTTCATAAGGGATATAAGTGCCTTAACTCCCATGGAAGAACTTTTGTCTCAAGACATATGACCTAAAATGAGAATCACTTTTCATTTCATGATGACTTTAAATTCATTAAAAACTCTAACTGAACAAGTATCTATTATTCTTCCGTCTTATCCTATAGATATCACTACAAGTCACATTTGAATCAATTAATAGTGAGGTGAACCATCATAAAGATGACTTAGCTACCAATGAATATCAGCCAACTCTCAATGACTTAATTGTGATGAACACATTTTATCAATGATTTTATTAATATAATTTATATATATTTAATATACTTTCTTAATTAATTATTAATAATTAATAGTTTTGTAAGAAGAAAATAAAAATACATGAATATAAGATATTATGTAAATTGTATATTTTTACTAATTATTTATTTTATTTTACAAGATGATAAATTAAATAAATTATAAAAGTTAAAACAAGTGTAAATCTGTTAAGCGTTTCGAATTTGCCCAACGATATCAATTTCGAGGCAACCGTCGAACGAATGTGAAACCGTTAAGCGGAATCGTTCTAGAGAGTTCTTCATGAGAAAATCAGCAATTCAGCTGAGTGAATTCACATCCACTCAATGCTTTTAGATCCACGTATGCGATTATGTCGAATCTCATGTAATTAATTTAAATATAATTTCGTTGAGCGGATTAGTCAAATTTCAAATTTTGCAAAATATTTTATTAAATTTTATTTTGTAATTATGGGCCTTGAACACTTTGTATGTCTTTGTTATTGTATAAATAGACCTTCAAAGGTGTAGAAACGAAGTTAAGTTTTAGTTACAAGTTCATTTACAAGTTTCTTTATTTTTTAGTGATGCTTAACTTCTAAGTTTGTTCCTAGAGTTCTTGTATGAATAATGCAATGAAGTTTATTAATTTAAGTTCTTCTTGATCATATTTAGTTCCTTTCTCTTAATTCTTTGTTTTTACTTTCCATTTTCATCTTCTTCTACTTATTTCTTTACTATTTTCATACTATTCTTTGTGTTTCAATTGTTAATCATGTTCTAATTCATTTTTATTGTTGATTGACCCACATTAAAACTTGTTTTCTATGGTTTAGATTTGATTCTTAATGATTCTAACTAATTATAATCCATTACAATCAATGTAATTGAGGTTATTTGATTGAATGTCTCTTTTACATTATAATTCAACTTCTAGGTTTAAGTGATTGTTTAATTTAAGAATTGAGTTGTGAATACGAATTTCAAATGAATTGTAATTTATTGGAACTATTGTCTATTTGTTTTTGTGATTGCAAGACAATTTCATAGAAATCAATGATAATCATAAAAACAAGTTTATGATTGGAGAATCAACACAATTTCTTCATTGTTCTTAATCTACAACTTTTATAGATTAGATTTACAAGTTTTCTTTATTGTTTTCGTTTAAATGCTTTCATAATTTATATTTATTATTTTCATTTACATACTTTCATTTACAACTTTTCAGAATATAGATTTACTGTTTTTAATTTACTTTTTTGCATCTAAAATTACAAAACACCCCATATTTTCTAGCTTTTGACATTAAAAAGAAAGATTTGAAATATAACCAAGCAATTCTTCTTAGGATTCCACCTAGACCAAACCCTAATACTGCATTACTTTAATTGCAGATTGTGTTATGAAATATAGACAACAAGATTAACTTGATCAAAATATCACCGTTGTCGGGGAGCAATTGGTGATTGTTTTGTTTTAAATCTTAATTTTCTTTTGTCAAAGGTTAGTGTACATATTCGTTTTTAGTTTGTGTTGAATTGTTTGTTTTTTGTTTGAGTAAAAAATCTTGAAAAACCTTAAAAAAAATTGTCTATGATTTTCACTCAGAGGTTTGTTATCCCTTGAGTGTTGTTGTTTTTCGTTCAATTTTGAGCACATTGTCCAAATTTCACTGAGCGAATTTGTGGTAATGAGGTCAATTTTTTTAATTTATCTATTTTTCGCTTAGCGATTTTTTATCCACTGAACGTTTTTTGTCCAGTGTTTAAATTTTTGTTTTTTCTATTAAATCCACTCAGCAGATTGCTATTTGCTCAATGGTTTCTTATGCGCTCAACGGATTTGTCATGTTTTTTAGTTTAGTTGGTTACTCGAATGAATCCGCTCATCAAATCTATGTTCGCTCAACGGATTTGCTCCAATAGCTTGTGTTTTTTGTATTTGTCTATACGACTTGTGTATGTTCTTTTATAATCTCTCATCTTCATCAACCATATAAAGAATAAAATCTAAAAAATACGCAACCGTTTGAACAAGCTCCACAGATTCAACCCTTTAGTGAAAGTCAACCATCTTGGGAGGAATTGATGATGTAATTGGTTTGCCTTCCCAAACTGTTGTGAATTAAAAAAAATGTGAGTGTTATAACTCTTAGAACAGGAAAGGTGCATGTTGGACCTATTAATTATGAAGCCTCATAAGAAAAACAAAAGAAGGAAAATGCTTCTGCTTAAACAAAAAATGTAACCAAATCAGCAAAATTACAGTCTCTAATGCAACAAAAATAATCATTGCATTTGTGCACATTATTACTGCACCTAATGTTATGATTCTTAAAAAATGTAAAGATTCAAGTGTATTTACAATTTCATGTGTTATAGGTAATAAGAGGTTTAAGCATGCAATGTTAGATTTAGGAGCCTCAATTAATGTTATGCCTTTAGTCATGTATTCATCATTGTGCATTGGATCTATGTAACCTACTGGTGTGGTAATTTAATTGGCAAATAGAAACACAGTTCAACCAGCTAGTTTACTTGAGGATGCCTTGGTAAAGGTGAACAACCTTGTCTTTCCAATAGATTTTTACATATTGAATATAGGAGGTAAGTTTTCTATTAACTTTGAACTTAGTTCATCTCCTCTTATTTTGGGAAGACCATTCTTAAAAACTACACACACCAAGATTGATGTTTATGTTGATATATTGACTATGAAGTTTGGTGATTGATTGATTAAATTTAATATCACTAATACCTTGAAACATTCATGTGGAGATCATTTTGTGTCTAGGATTGATGTTATTAATGAATTGATTGTTAAAGATGTCCTAAAACTTCTTAATTATGATATTGAAACTGTGTTTGGTATGAAAAAAAATCTCAAAGTCAAGTTTCTTTTTGTTCTTTAAGCACTAAACGAAAGCTGAATCCGTTTAGCGAAAATTTGATAATAACACATCAATGCCTTTATTCGATGAAAAGCATTGAGCGAATTAAGTCCAGTGGTTTAATTTTGACTAAACTGTTTAGCAGTTTGTAATCAGCTCAATGAATTAACTCAAGTGATTTAATTTTAATAAAATCGTTCAACAATTTGTAATCCCTTTAGCAAATTGATTAAAGTGGTGGGCGCTGATGTTACTAGATAGATCAAGTTTATAAATTCTCTCGTTTTCGTCTATTAAATAATATTTTAATATTTAAAAAAGTTTCTTTTAATTTGTCAAGTTGCAAATTTTTAATTATCAAGATCCAATTATGAGTAATTAAATGGTAAAAATAAAAATTTGTAACTTGAAGGACTACTCCTAAAGGACCTAACGAAATCTTAATTGAAATTTTAGGATATCTTTGAATTTAGTTAATTCTTCTTTTATCCCATTATAATATTTTTCATCATGGAATGATCATATTTAAAAACAATTAGATGAGAAAATTAGAAAAGATCCGCAACGGTTTACAATCCGCTCAGTGGATTTGACCCAGATCTAAAAAGAAAACTTCAAAATTTTATTCTTTCCTTCTTTTAATTTTTTATTCTTTCATTTTTTTTTTCAATTTTTCTTTTATTCTTTGATTTCTTTTAATTTTATAAATCTTTGATTTTTTTAATTTTATTTTTAATCATTTACTGTTTTGATTATATTTTTTTCAGTTTAACCTCTTTATTTCTAATCTAATTTTATGATTTAACTTTGCAGCACAATACCAGTTTTCAAGCAAAGAATACGGGAATCCTAGAAACTTATTATCTCTTTTATTGTTCATTTATCTTTATTGTTTCAAATTTTTAATTTACTGTATTTTTCTATTCATCATTTTTTTGACATTGTTCTACTCCTTAAAATTATTTTATTTTTACATGGAGGACAATGACACCACTGTATATACACAGATGTATATTTTCAATATTGAAGAACAAGGAACATGACTGTGTTTTCAGTATTTTCTCACCAATTTGACAAAAATAGAAAAACTATCAACAGTCCCTGCAAAAACAATGGATCCATTAATTCCTGGCAAAGAGAAGGGTGCTGCAATAGGAACTTAAGCATCATCATCACCACTGCATTTCAGAATTATAGAAGGCAAGTCAAAGTAGGAACTGAAGGAGTCATCTTCATGATTATTTTCCTGTATTATTATCCCTTTCCCATGTGCAACCCCCGAATGAAGTTCAAAGCGTTCCAAAGAAAATGTGCTAGACATTACATGATTCTCAGAATAATCCATTTTGTTGCCTCCTTTTCTTGCTTTATCTGTCTTTGCTTTACCAAAGCCAAAGCCTGGAAGACACAAGCAAAGGGCACTACATTTGGATCCTTCATCCTTCATTCTCTTGCCACTGCCTTTGGTCATTGCTTCACTTTTTGAGAAGCTTCCTTGAAGCCCTTTTTCATGGTCCAGTTCCATTGCATGTTGGCTACTTGGCAGTGACATGTTCATCCATTGAAGATGCTGCTCATTCTTCTGAATATGCATGTCTTTGTGCAAACTCATGTTGGACTTTTCCATCATTGCTAAAAGGGAAAGAAATTTGTCTGCTTCAGCTTGCCTTCCAATTGGTTTCAAGTGACTGTGGTAGAAACTTGAAGGGTCCTAGAGTTGTAGATTTATATTAGAGAACTAATTCATTTATAGAAAAAGTGGCTTAGAGTGGTGTTGGTGTTTTTCTCTATGGCATCATGTGCTTTTGACTCCAAGGATCAGTTGACTTTTTGGCATTCACATTGTAAATTTCTTGCCGGCTTTGTTCTTGGATTGGATGATTGAGACTTGACAGAGATTGAAGCCGGCAACATTACCATTTTCTGAATTTTATATTTGCATTTGTATTGATATTGACTGACTTTTTTCTTAAATAGTGATTGTGGAATATATGATGATGCATGCACGACATTCTTAAATAAGTGACAAAGTAAATCATTAATAAAACGTGTAACGTGCTAATATCAAAGATTTTCTGGACGCAGACAAACCTTAGAATCTTGGACAAAAGAGAAGAAAGGACTTATGGCATCATTAATTTGCTTGCAAAATGTGAAACTGAGGAAAAATGAAGTTCTAACCGCTGATTAGAACGAAAGAAGTTGTTTAAATGCACTATTTTTTTCTTTGCAATTCAAAATACATGTTATCAAAATCTCATAGCGGATTCTGTTGAGTTTGTTATTTACACCTTGATTTCATGATAAAGAATAGAAAAAAGATGTAGTCATATGATATAAGGATCAGATCCTGTATCAGTGGCTACTGCTTAACCTTATAGTATCATTGTTTAAGGAAATAAGCTATATTATGATTCATAATTTTATTTTATTTAGTAATATCCAAGAAGGATGCTCTAAATTTGGATTATAAGCTTGCAATTATACTAAGTATTTATTTACGAAATTTTATGCATATCAAGATATGTATCTTGTATGTATCCATGCATCATATCAGTGTATAAGACACATGAAACAGATTAATGTTTACATTCAGCACTAGGAAAAGATTTGCAGTGTATTAATTAATTACAAACATTCTGTTTGTTGTAGAGTTCTTAAGAATGGTTATCAGTGTCACTCCATATCAATGTCATCATCATACTTGTCTGCTTTCTCCATAGCAAGTTGCTTGTTCATGCTGCAGAACTCAACTTCACATCGTTGGCATCAATATATATGTCCTTTGCATGGTCAATCTGTGATTCACCATATTTCTTTTGATGAAACTCTCAACATTTTGTTTGAAAAAAATTACTCTGATTGTTAACTGCAATTTCTCCCTGTTTGTACAGATATACACAAATTTCCTTGATGCTATACTCAAATTCTCTCCTATTTCTGTTCAAAAGCTGATATACTCCATTACCATGACTACATAGCAGGGCAAATAAAAATAGTATAGAAGTAATGTTATTTAAAAAATGAAGCTAATGGCGTACAAACACATTTGCTTGGACTGAGAAGACATTTGATTTTCTTTGGTCTACTAGAAATATTGTGTTGAATTATTGGCAAGTATAACAAAATTATCAATAGTAGTATATTATTTTGATTAAATAAAAGTCGATCCCACGAGAAACGGATTCAATGGAAATTCCCAATTATGTACTTACTAAGTGGATTAAAACAGAATGAATTTTGCATAAAGAGTTGAATTGAAATTAAATGACAAAGAACCGTAAATTATTGAGAAAAGATCAATTAAAGACACTTAGGATTGACTTCCTTCCTTATCTCTCTTTTGCAATGACTATATCAATTAAGAACGTCAATTAACCTAACAATGTTGATGTCACCTACTCAAATCATCCATGTTGATTCCTTATACAAGAAATTCATAAAAAAACCTAATAAATATTGATTCCTCACACAATTAAGATATTTTTCAGCATTAGGTTTAAGGTGTTAAGCAATTGATACATTCATTTCATTCCTGACAATTAACGTAACAAATATATTTCTACCGTGATCTAGGGTTCAAGATATATATATTTTCCAATCATATCCCAAACATCAAGAATAAATCATTCCAAAGCATAAAGGATAAGAATAACAATATCAAAATATAGATTAATATATCAAAATATCACCATGATAAAAAAGAGTTTAAAGGATGTGCATCAAATCCCAAGATAATGAAGTTAGTCACTCATGTTGACCATTACAATGCTCCAAATGAGGAAGAAGTGAAGAATTGATAAAGATTGGACGAAACCCTAGCAGTAGTCGCATCTCCTCTCTCCAAAATTGTTGTTTTTTTTTCTCAAAACACATCTTATCTTTTTTAGAAAAAATTGGGTCTCGCGTCTTTCGCTCAAGCGACAACTTTTGCTCAAGTGAAAGTTTCCTATTTTCGCTCAAGCAATAAAACATTCGCTTAAGCGAGTGAACTCGAGAAGAAAAATAACTAACATTCGCTTAAACGAATTTTCTTGCGCTTGAGCGACTGACTTCCAGAGAAGAATAACTGATATTCTCTCAAGCGAATGTTCATCTCGTTCGAGCAACTTTCATGCTGAAAATCTTTTTCCTTCTTCCAGTTTTACTCTAATTATGCTCCTTACTCTTGTATCAGAGTATTCTCGAATTCATTCTATATTGGGAGAAAAATAAATTAGAATTAACATAAATTAAGCGGTTTCATAATAATTCAAGGCATAATTATATCAACTTTTTACCACTTAACATATTGTTCATATAAATTTATACCTAAAATAAATATACTTAGACATAACATGCTAGATGCAAAATCTGGTAGAGAAAATCGTTTGCATTGGTTGTGACATCATAAACTTTTTTGTAAACTAAAATTTGTTTATACATAAACTAATTTATTGAAATTCTTGTATATGATTTCTCTAAATTCTTATTTTTAACATTTATACAAGTTAATTTAACTTATGGAAAAACTTATTTTATTTTTTTCTTCTTATTTTTCTAGAAATGTTTGTGAATGAATTTCTTCAAACTTGAGATTCCTAACCAACTTGAGTATAGTTAAATAGTTCGTAATAATGGTGAATGCTAAGGATCGATCATTTATATCACAAACAAAAATACCCTCCAATTATCCTTCAAAACTAACATGTTGGCCAGCATTTGTATAACGATTATGCAAATTGTGGTCATCGGCCACATAAACAAAGTCAGCAGAAACAGCTACAAATGAAGCTTTCTAATGTATATTTTTATTTCACATTATATGTCTGCATACGTTGAATCATGCACTTTGTGCTGCTGCTAAGAAGGCATTAAAATCTTCTCTGGCTTTTCTCAAGCGAGGAGAAATGCAGGTTACAGGAGAGGCAGGATGTGACGCAGAAGATGATGTAGAAAATCGAACATGGCGAGGTGATGCATCTGATTTTCTAGCACTACCTCTAGAGGAACCATTCTTCAGAATCCCTTTAAGGTCTCTTTCAAAAACAAAAGATGAAGCAACTGGAGAGTAAACTTCACTTGAACCGCATTTGATCAACTCCATTGGTAGATCAAAGTAGGAGTTAGTGGAGTCTCCTTCAATCTCATTGAGTTTTGCTGCAGAAGACCATGAACCACATTCAAAATTTTCCAAGGAAACTGTCCTAGACATTCCTTTACCTTCCTTTTTTGTTTTAATTGGCTTTACTTTTCCACCACCAAAGCCTGGTAGATAAAGGCACAGAGCACTGCATTTAAATCCGTCATGTGTGGTTTTCATGTGCTTAAACTTGACACTCTTGGGACTTTCTTTGACAACTTCAGTTTTAAAGAAATTGTCATGGTACCACTTGTCATGCTCCAATGCACTTAGTTTACTCAACCAGTGATCAAATTCATTTAAGGGAGCAAATGCTGTTGCTTCACCACATGGCTTGTTCTTCTTTAAATGCAGGTCTTCTTCTAGCAAATGCTGAAGCTTTTGACTCAAGTTACTATCTTGACATTGTGATTCAGGACTCTCACCTTTTGGTTTCTTCTTGGAAAGTGTTGAAGCAAAACGAGGTGATGAGTTGGCTGAATTTGGGAGACTCATGCTCAAGAATCTTGGCTTTGGAGGTTGTAGTGGGGGAGGTTGCAAAATGATGGATGATGAAGTCGTGATTATAGTTGGAAGCATGGTGGTAGTCTCAAGGTACCTTTGTTCTGTAGGAGAATCTTTCAATGAAAGTGGATCCACCATAATCTGCTTTTCATATTGGAGTCTCTCCATGATTGAATTTTTGAGTTTCTCAACCTCTCTCACAAGGAAATCATGACCTTCTATGTTGGTTTTGTCTATTTGCGCAGAAGCCATGTTTTTTTGTTGTTGACAAGAGCTATATCGGTGTCAGAGAAACATGAACCTGGGAAACTCTTAAGGATAGTCACTGCTTATAAAGATGAGACCTAAAATGTAAAGAATGTGTAGCGTGCCAACATGTTCATTAACATGTTAGTTCGTGATGACCATGTTCTCAACCTATTTTTTTTATTATATATATAATTATCAGTTGACTTTATACAAAATGAACAAAAAGTTTAAGAAACCGATAATAATTAATAGGTATGTTAGGAAAAAAAATGATTTTTTTTTTTATAAATTATAGAAAGATCATTTTCAAATCTGAAATAGAAAAATAAATAAATTGAAATAATCTGAACCTCCAAATAGTTCAAGTATTTGAATCCCTTAATTTTAGTTTGAATAATTTCCCCCATTGTTAACATAAAAAAATTATCATGAAGATGAAAAAAATCATATTCATTAAAAAGAGAAAAAAAAACACCCAAAAATAACATACACAAATATTGTGTAGTATGAACCAAAAATAAATTTTTGTATATTATTTCCAATTCACTTTTACCATTATTAAACTCTAAAAGTAAGACCTAATAGAACATTATTAAGAAAGATGTTCACGAATTATTAGCACTTTATAACAAGAAGAAAAATTGAAAAAAAAAATTATAAATAATGTCACATTTGAAATTCAGTCATAGTGAAATTGAATATGGAATTTGAAACTAAATTCATTTAGATAACTAATTAATATTATATATATATATATATATATATATATATATATATTGTTTTATTGTGTGTCTTGTGAGTGTTTTTGGTAGAATGTAACCAAAGATTTCATATGAATTAGAATGTTGAGTGTTAATTATAATAATTAGTTAAGAGAAATTGAAGAATTTTGGATCATCTTAAAAATATTACAAAATAGACTCAATCTAATTTTTCATCCTAAATAAACTATTAAAACAAGAAACAATTTATTAATTTTTGCTAAATAAATTATAACTATAAAGATTGTGGCTAGCATGGATAACTCATAACATTCTCATTGTGAAAAAAAATTGTCAATAATTGAATATAATATTGTTTAAATAATTAATTATCTGAAGAAAGGTTTGCTATTTTTCTAAAAGAAATAATCTAAACTTTTTCTTCTTTTGAGTACAACTTCTTGAATCCTTAAGATCATGACATCCACAAAGTTATATATATGTCCATATAAATTTATATTTCTCATAATTTAAAATAATATTTATTTCTTTACAATTATTTTTATAAAAATTGACATGATAGATGTGATTTTAAAATCACTATATATCTCAATTAACACTTTTTGATAAATCACAAATAAAAATGAATATTTTGTTTTCATTCACACCAAAAATCTTATTTTGTTTTCATCTTCCTCTCTCTATACATCTACACAACCAAATAATAAGATATCAATATTTCTTTAAGTCTATTAAAATAAAATTATTAAAAATATTATTCTCCTACAGAAAAAGTCTAATAGTAAGAGTAATAATTTTATACTTTAACCTATTCATTATTTTCTTTATAACAAAATTTTAATAAAACTAAATATAAAACCTACAATATATTGAATGCTGTGATATGATATTATAACAACAGAAACAAAACAAATATTAATAAAATATTTATTTATTTAATTAATTATATGAAAATTAGTTACATAAAATTTTAAATTGAAATATTTATTTTAGTAAATAATTAGATACAAGTTTATTTTTCTTACTCCATAAATATTAAATGATTTTACATTATATTTTAATATAAAAAAGTTATATCCACAAATCATAGAAAAAATATATAATATTATAAAATTAAATCTTAAATAATTCAATAAAAATCATGAAATAATAGTTTTAAATCATGAAACATAATGAAACAAAGATTTAACGTGTTGATAGTGTACCACTCAAAGTTCGTGAATGTGAAAGAATTTTTTTTTTTCAAAGAATGAAGGTGGAAACCTTGATTATACGAAAAGCATGAAAAAGTTGTGTATGGAGGACAAAATTCAGAAGAAGAAAAATCTCCTATTTATTATTTATTTCAAAATTTATCTTTTCAATATGATTAATTGTCGATCATTTGAAACGAACTCTATCAGATTTAACATACAAATAAAATTTATGTTATTCTTTTAATTTAACATACAATTTAAAATGAAACTACATATTTATTTTAATGATGAAATGTATTTATATATCAAGTATTCAATTGTAAATATTTTTAGGGTATGTATATTGCCAACTTGACCAATTAGATAAATATCTCAAATTTAAAATCAGTATTAAATTGTTTTTTATTAATTATATAGCAAAATAAACTGAAATTATAATCTAATTCACTTAAAATGTCCAACACTGAGACAGGCCTTTCAAACCCACGTTAAAAGTGAAGAGACAACTAAGAATTTGGAACCAACGATACCTTTCAACACTCACCGGAACATTTTCCTTCTGCTTGCATAAGTGCACACCAATGGGGATTAATTTGTGACTGAATTACTGACACAAATTTTTTTGTTTAATAAATATTATTCACAGAACCGAACAATTTTTCTGGGAATCCACAATAATATATCACATATGTATTTAATATATATATATATATATATATATATATATATATAATATTTTTTTTCAAAATATTCCTTAATGTTTTTCTCTTATAAATTTACCAGAGAAGTTATAATAATAACAAAAATAAAAATCTCAGTTTTATCTTTTTACAAGTTAAACAATATATTATTAAGAACAACATCATAAATAAATTAAAAACCTTCTGTTAATAATTACATCATTATGTACAACAATTCACTTACATTATCTATATAATTTAATCTATTTTTTTATAAAATCAAAATCTAATTACAACTTTACTTTTTATTCCAACTCAAAATAAATTTAATATATTTTAAACAAACAATAAAATACACATTTGGATATTATATTTTGGATATAATAATAATAATAATAATAATAGTAGTAGTAGGTGATAGTTTATTATTGGATGATAGTGTAAATAATACTTAGACTGTGTATTTTTTTATACATTATTTTTAAAATGAAATGTAAAATAATATAGTATAATATAAAAATCATTATGCTCTATATTTTTAAATAAATATTATAAAAACCTTGCTGTTATATAACTTACAAGAAAGATTATTCATGATTTTTGTTTTTCAAATAAAAAAATTAAATGTATCATACATATATTATATATACTCACTTGAAAGACAACTATATTGGTCCTTTATCACGTTAAAAAAGTTTTTTCTTATGCTAAGAATATTTATAAACTTTAAGTATTAGGTGTAATATGCTAGAATGGATACTTTGTATGAACTTTTAAGCACAAAATTGAATAAAATAAAATATTTAATGTATTATTTAAAAATTAAAATATATTTAAATAATCTAAAATTTAATATATAATAATAATAATATGAAATAAAATGATGGAATTTAATTTTATAGAATAAACTTAAATGTGTCCTGAGTTGTCATTTTATTTGTCTTTATAACATTATTCTTTTATCATAACTTTTCTCCAAATTCATAAATGCTAGTAATTCATAAGTGTTAGATTATTAATGTAACCATAAATGAACATATATAATAAATAAAAGTTGATGAGTCTATATAAGAGATAGTTTTGCTACTTTTTGATCAATCCTTTCTCTATATTGCTCATCAGAGAGTAAAACAATCTCTCTTCCATGGCAGCCTCATCACAATCCACCTCATTGCATCACCAGTTTCTCAACACAACCACCGTCCAGAATGGCACAAACGATATTGAAACAGTTTATACAGAAGAAGCACTTCCAAATCTTACTTCATTCATGGAGAACAAAGATGAGAACGAGGAAGATCAAAAGTCCACAGCCAACCGGAGGTATTTACCTCTCCTGGTTCTCAATTATATTCTACTCTTTGTTGGTTCACTCTCGTCAAGTCTTTTATCAAAGTTTTATTTTATCCACAAAGGCTCTAGCAAATGGGTCTCGACTTGGGTTCAAAGTGCAGGGTTTCCCCTCCTACTCACTCCCATTTTTCTCCCACCCATCCTTAAATATACTAAGAGAAGACCCTTCACAGGTTTCAGCCAAAAAATGTACTGGTTTTCAATTTCCGTTGGTCTTATGTTAGGTTTCAATAACCTTTTGATCTCATGGGGAGTAGCATACCTCCCAGTTTCAACATCAGCCCTTCTTTTATCCACCCAGTTAGTTTTTACTCTTATTCTGTCCAGCATCATTGTTAAACAGAAAATAACATTTTCAAATCTGAACTGTGTCATCCTCATCACTATAAGCTCTATCATTCTGGCATTGGACTCTAGTCATGAGAAGCCAGAAGGGCTTACCAGCAGAAACTACTTCATAGGGTTCTCTTGCACCATAGGTGCTGGTTTGTTGTTTTCTTTGTACTTACCAGTGATGGAGAAGATCTACAAGAGGGTGTACTGCTACCAGATGGTGATGGAAATGCAGCTCATAATGGAGATTGCAGCAACAGCCTTGGCCACTGTAGGCATGGCATGGGACGGAGGGTTTTCTGACATGAAGGAGGAGGCTGAAAGGGTTTTCGACAAGGGAACAACCGCTTATTGGGTAACTGTTATATCAACTGTCGTGACATGGCAATGTTGCTTTATGGGAACTGCAGGAATGGTTTTTCTGACATCTTCACTCACTGGAGGGATTTGCTCCACAGCTTTGCTGTCCATAAATGTGTTGGGTGGGGTGCTGGTTTATAAAGATGCCTTTGGAGGTTTTAAGGCTGTGTCAACTGTTTTGTGCATTTGGGGCTTCTGCTCATATGTCTACGGCATGTACATCAAACTGAAGAAAAATAAGAGTGAAAATGAAAGGAGAAGCACCAGTAGTGGATCTTCCACTGAGTTGATCCCCAGGAGGAACCCTGATGAAACTATTTGAACTCTTGAATTTTGATAAGATTGTGGTTTGGTTTAGAAATTTAATTAAGTTTGTGATTTTATGTTTGTAATTTCAGGTTTGTGGTGTTTGTGATTTCAAGTTTGTAATTTGTTTCAAGTTTGAATGCAGTTTAGTTTGCGCAATGAATTCTTCCATTACTTTATTTTAGGTTTAAACACAAATTGGTTCTACTTAATTTTCTCCTATTATTTACTCATAAGATTTTAGACAAATGGTTAAAAATATAAGATTAATGTTATGTTTTTATATCTTTGTTTTCATTGTATAAATAATTAATGTTTCTCAAAATTCATGAGCAAATTCATCAGTTAAAAAATAATAACAATATAAAATAATTTAATAGAATTGATGCAGTTATCATTAAACTTAACTTTATTATATATCTACACCTATAACAGCTTTGTATCACATGAAATCTGGTTTTGTTGACCAAAAGATAAAAAGTTTAGGGAGATTTTTAAGTATGTCACGTATTACATTTGAATTATAAACTCATCGGTTATGATATAATTAGGTTAAAGAAACTGATGAGTAGAACCATAAGTTAAAGAAGATTAAACTGAAGACTCAAACTCAATATTTTATCAAGTTTGTAACGCATAAATAAATAATAATAATATTATTATTATTATTTAAACTATTAATTGTTATCTACAGATAAGAATTAATTGAAACAAGTTCTTTTAATGATATAAAATGTTCATTAGATTAACTTCTTATTTCAATAAATGAGTAAGTATATGCATAAAGCTAAACAAAGAAAATATGAACAAAAATGATGGAATAGCTAAAAGCTATAGCTGTTAGTAAGGGTTCACACCACGATACTTAAACCCTCGGTCCAGAGTTTGGCGCCAAGCGCTAGCCACTTTGCTAAAAGCTTAAGCTAGTAGTAAGGGTTCACACTTTAGCACTTAGCCCCTGGTCCCACCACGCTTCCGCGACTCTGATTCCCCCGCTCTTCGGGAATCTCGAGGGGACTTACCACACGCTGCCCCAATTCCGTCCTCGGCAGGAATCGAGCACGCGGCCTCGCTCTGATACCAAGAGGGGGGGAAAGAGGGGTGAAACTCAAAACAGGAAATCCGGGGTTTGAACCGCCAGATAACTGACTGATACCCCAAGAGAGGGGGGAAACAAGGGTGAAACTCAAAACAGGAAATCCGGGGTTTGAACCGCCAGATAACTGACTGATACCCCAAAAATAAAGAGGTACAGAGAAAGCAGGAAAACCCGGTGAGGGGAAAACACTGCTCAGATACCGGAGGGTGGACAGAACAGAGAAAACCGGGAATGAACCCAGAATAAACTGCCCTGAGACCCGAAGGGGGGAATGGAAAGGAGGAAAGTAAAGAGACAGGAAAACAAAATAAATTAAAACATGTTATAACTCTTTATCTCTTCTGTCGGTCAACGTGGCTACTTAGCTACCAGAGAACCCGAAACCGGGCTAGCTAAAATGAAGACTGTCCGAGATAAAGTCGGTTATAGCAAGAAAAGTGTTCACTTATAAGATTATGAGATGGATGAATCTGGCATAGCCGGTTAGACATCTCCACATAAGCTTATACATGAACGAAATTAAATGCAGAAAAGTAAAGACAGGGAAAATAAACACACAAAGTCCATGATAAGATTATGAGATGACTGAATCTGGCAGAGCCGGTTAGACATCTCCTCATAAGCTTATATGAACAAAATTAAAGCTGTACAAAAAAATTATTTAAGCCTTTAAATGATTATCGCATCTTTAAATAAATAAAGCTTAAGGCATCCGAGGACGCCCTTATAAGAAAACTACTCCATAAGGGGGAGCAGAGAGCACTTACTTGGGGGGAAGAGAAGGAGAAGGAGAGGGGAGATGCTGAATAACTTCTCTTATTGATAATAAGAAATTTACATAAGCGGGGGAGAAGTAGAGAGAAGGAGGAGAGACTTGTCTAGAGAGAGGGGGGAGAGGTTCTTTTTCACTTAAGCTTCTGCCCAGCATAAGGGACTTACGAAGCCTTATATAGAAAAACAAAAATATTAAACTAATGAATAGTAATTTACATGTGGGACCCACTTTATGACTAATGGGTCTCAAAACTTAGCAAAGAAGTAATCCTTACGGACGAAACTTCCTCACTAAAAAACAAAAATAGTAAAGTCACTAAAAGACAAAAATAGTGACATTCATTAATAATTTTTTTTTTTTTTTTTTTTTTACATTTTATCAAAAGACTGATTCAATCTTACCGTCATTAACATGCAAGGCTTAATTGGCCTAACAACATGTAACGGAAGAGGAATCGTGACAAGGTAGCAAGATATCATTATCTGCCATTAACCTTTGTCGTCTTTTGATACAGCTGTGTATGACGTAAGAGCTTACGTCATGAGAAGCTCCTTGAAACCTTCAAGGGCAATATGGTATTTGTGTGGCTAATGACGTGGGAGATTACGTCATTAGGAGTTCCTCGAAATCTTCAAGGGTAAAGTCGTCTTTATCAGAAAGACTCATTGGTTGTGGGGAGGCGGGATTTGTACAGTTCCTGCCTTTTGAAATTTTATGAATGTCTTCTGGAAACTGACACGGAAGACATATCATCAAGTCCTTCTTCAACCATCTGGTCAATGAAGTTTATGTCCTCATCATCAGAGGGAAATGAAGCTCCGGGGGTTCCTTGTCCATGGACTCCGGTTTCTTCATAAATTTCTTTGAGAATCCTTTCTCGTCTGAAGTGTTCTACCAGAATGGGACTGGCTTCAATTGGGAAAGGATGAAACTTGTTTCCCATAAGCTGTTTCCAATAAAGCTTGGTATCAGCAGTTTCTTTGAGAAGAATAAAATCTGAAATATCCTTTTTAGAGAAATTCCAGTTAGATCCTTCTACGTAAGCTTTCCAAAGCTGATATTGGTAAAGCTTATCTTTGTTTAGAGTAAGTCCCTGAAAAGGATCTTGCTCTATTGAGGTACGCATCTCAGGATTGACCTCTGTGTACAGCTTAACAACATGTTTTGCCATGCTGTCAAGAGAATTGGGACTTCTTGGGGAAGAAGTAATTTTTAAGAGCACACTCATCATATGCTCGGCTTGTATTTCATTTACCACAGAGTTTATTTCTGGGGTTAATGAATGAAATCTTTCTGTAGGAGGGATGCTAATATCTTGGAGACATCCGACTTCTAACGAAGTTGAGGGCTTATCGAAGCTCTCGGTATAGCTTGGTTTTTGAAGGTGGACAAATCAATTTGTGCCCTTCGGATGACAAACTTTAACTGGCAGTGTACAATTTGTGGATACTCGTTTACAGTATTCTGAGGATCCTAAACAAGGATTCCTATTGTTAAAGTAAGTCTCGTGTTTTGACAGTAAGCCCTTTGGGATTTTGGGCTTCGAGTGAACTTCAAACAGAAATTCTTGTATTAGCCCAAATCGGCTAAAAAGAAGTTTGGGTTAACTCTGGCAGGAAGGCAACAGGCTCCTGCATAGGTTTGTGTTTGGGCCTTTGGTTCTAGCAAAAGGGCCGCTTTTATTTTTTCTTCGTTTATGGTTTCCAATTTCAAAGCCATCCGGGCTTCTTCCTTGGAATAAAAACCTTTGTAATTAGACCAAAACTGGTCTTGTTTGGCCTCGGAGAGGTCTTTGTATGAAGTATAAACTCCTTTGTTTGGCCCCGTAACTAGGGCATAATGTGTAAACCCCTTACCGGAAGGAGAAGTTGCGAAGTCAACCTAACTTCCTTGTTATCCGCATTGCAGAAACCGTATAATGCGCTAATAATGCTTTGTTTCATTTTAGCGACTTGTTGCTCATTCTCGAGCTGTGTGTTTTGGAATATTCCAAATGTTGTCAATTAAAACATTTAATTTGACATTTGTAGATTCTCTACCAGGAAACCGGTAGGAATTTGTAAGTATGGGTAACTCTTGTTTCCCATACTTCATGTATTTTTCCACCATAAATGGGGATTTTGTGGGTTTAGGACCTAAAGGCCCCTTCCCTTTGTGTGTAGAATCCATCATTGGATTTCTTGTTCCTGCAAAAGAAACATTAGTAAACAAGTTATATAAAACTTGTAGAACCCATCAATGGTCTTTTGTTCTCGAAAAACAATCGAAAAACAGATTATATTAAGCAACAAAATGCTTTATTTTCTCTAGTTCTTGTTCTAGAGTTTTTATGTGAGCCTTACAAAAGGCAACCTCATAAGCAAAATTATGAGGGTTTAATTCATCTTTAATTAGATGTATTTTGGCTAATCTTCTTTTTAGCCCTTTTATGCGTTTTGTGATCATTATGACTCGGATGAGGACCTGTCTCACCAAATCTTAATGGTCTCGTGTAAAAACCCAAATCCCGGGGAATTTCAGTGGTCATTTTGTACTACCAAGTCATTATCCATAATCTTGGTCTTTGGAGGACTTGTCGAGTCCTTTGTAGTGACATACCCGGAAAGGATGTCGGCGAACATATTATCGAACCTTTAATATGTTCAAAGTTTATAATTTTTCCAGAATTCATATAATCCTTGAATAAAAGCCATCTTCTATGAGGCTTTTTATCTTTATGAATCTGGTGTTTACCATAAGACACAATTGCTTCACAATCGGTTCTAATGGTTATTTCTGACTTATCTATCGAAATAATTTAAAAGCATCTAATGCATGTATGATAGCATTGACTTCATAGTCAGTGCTAGTTTGATACACCTGGGGTTTAGCAAGTGTATTTGCCAGATGCATACCTACAAATTTGTTCTTCTATCTTAGAAGAATATTTGTTTTTCTTGCGTTTTAGGATGGCTCCCCATCCTAATTCGCTTCCATCACACTCAATTATCAAATAATCAGAGTCTAATGGTAATTGTAAAGTTGGTAATTGGTTTACCATTTGTTTTATATTCTAAACCAATCTAATGTCTTCAGAATTAAATTTTCTTTCTCCTTTAATAGAAGTTTTGTTGTATAAAGGAGATGTATATTGACCCAAATT